ACTATGTGGCATTAATGGATTAAACTAGTGTACATATTTGGTATACGTGAAGTTTGACACTTCATGTGTTGTCAAAATCTGTACCATTGATTGTTTGAAGTGTTGTTAAAATTAATGTGAAAATGTCATTATTCTTATTCTTTAATATAACACGTATGTTCCAACCAATTTAAGACCAATAATGCTATGTAATACCACCACCAGTTCTTAGCATCAGTTTCAGTGACAATAGAGTCAATTGTTTATTGATAGCGTCAATCTAATTGATAGTGAGATCCATTACGTGCAATTGGCTAAAAAAATATGACTGATCATTAATTGTAGACGTACAGTAAATATCACTGTCAATTAGAACAGTATTAAACATCAACGATACTATATAACATTCATTATTCACATAAGACATAATGAAATTGTCAAGATTAATGTTGTTTATCAGTAAAGGTGCTAGATTAGGGGCAACAGGGCCCACACCAGTTAAACAACAGTGAATCCCCTGGTGAATAATATTACTTAAGACTTAAATGGTCTCAAACCATCTTTTCTTTTGACTTGATTTTTTGTGCTCTTTTTATCATTGCTACCCTATTTTTAGTCAAAAGGTGAACCCATATCAATCGGTACTACAGTTTACAAAATTGCTCAACTGGGCTTTGTCCCCGTGGTATAACAAGATGAGACGGGCGTATCTTGATTCCTGAAAATGCAAGTAATGACGTTAGTTCTTCTGCGCTAAAGCAAAGACGCGAGTATAAAAAGGTGAATAGCGACGTTTAACTTTGCACATGAACTTCAAGGGAACTCACCCCCACAAACAAGAATCCATGTGTGGACACATGAAAATGTATAGCTGAAGTTGATTCTCCATTTTATGTATCCTCAATGTGAATAAAGTAAGCTGAAATTATGGGGCTAATTTTAATTGAACTCTTACGTATTTGTTTATATTTGAAGAGTTCGAACTTTAAGTTACACGTAAAATTATTTTTTTATCTTAAATAACCATTATGTCGACAAATTACAATGCTAATTTTTAAAGGACTTACGTACAATTTTCTTATTAAACAAGTACAAAATATCAATTATTCTCTAATTAAAAAGAATTAACTCGATCAACTTGACTTTACTAAATCAATTTGAGATGACGTATGAATATTTTATTCTTCTTCTTTAATCTTTTCCCTTCATCTTTTATTCCACTTTGCTAAAAAAAAACTCCTAAGAGTGCACAAATTTAAGAAAATTATTTTACATTTTCCACCTACTTCGATAGTCAAAAAAATTTCCTTTTTATTTTTGTAAAATATCCAAAAATTACCCACTTTTAAGTTAAAATATAACAGCGGTAAGTAAAATAACAGCTTTTGAAATGCTCGTGTGCTAAAAGGTAAATAAAGCCGGTCATTTACTGGATCGGAAAAAGAGGGATTCCTCTACAGTGGCAATCCCGTTATTCTCAAGAACTTGAAGGGTAAATATGGTCGGCATTTCCTAGACAATGTGCGTATACTTATACGAATATACGTATAGAGTGAGAAAGAGACAGGAGGGGGAATGTGTGTGGTGGGGTATTTGGGCAGCGCCAAAGGCGCAGGCCAGGCTACCCGAACTGTAGTCACTTTCTTCTCTAATTCACTGCACCAGTATCTTCACGCGCATTTCTCTTGCGTGCGTTTCAAAGAGTTATTCTTTTTGTAATAATTAATTTCGGATGTTAATCACTAGTCTATGAACTCCGCCTGTTTGGAAAAGATTATGAACTGCTTAAATTATAATTTGAGATTTAAGTGGTAAATAAGTGGATAATTGTTATAAATACAAGTTTGCACAAGCTCTATTTTTTGGGAAAATAGATTTTGTAATAGCAATTTTTAAGAGAATGTGCATTTAAAAAATAGGAAAAAATCAATAAATTTTTGGATCCATTGCCGACTTAAAAGAAAAAGTGAAAAATAAATAAGCAGCACGGTTCATAGTCGCCTGCCTTTCTTTTTCTTTTGAGTTGACCAATATAAGCATCATTTTTGTCTTCGTCGTTCTTTTTTTTTTAAATTTACAACTTTTAATTAAAAAAATCATTAAACAATGTAAACGACATTTTAACATTTCCTCACTGATTTTGCTTATAAGTAGTCGCACTTGATATACATAAAAGACGACCTTAACCAAATTATATTACATATTTATTAGTTTCTTAAACACGTTACGATTTGTCTTTTTCTACCAATTTTCTTTGATATCTTATGTTGAATATATTGTAACATATGAAATTGATATAATTTTTTTCGAAACTTATTTTTTTGATTGTAACAATATTATCCGAAATCGACACTAACCGGTTCTCATAAAAGTTTGTTAGCTACTAATGAGATTTGGCCCACAATAGGAAAAAAAAGGACAACTAAAATTAAAGCCAAGATTTAACACCATAAGATGTATCCAAATTCAAATTATGCTAGTTGTTTGCTAATTTGACTTCTTATACCCCTATCTTTTAAGTGTAATTATTATTTTCCTAAATTCTCTTTACTTAATAGATTATTACATGAATTTGTATAGACAGCTTCTCACTAAAAATGTATTCTTTTCTACATCACGTGAAAATTTAATGTCTAAACAGACAATTTTTCAATTATGTGAAGATCCAATGGGCACAAGGACAATAAATGATTGAAGACTCACACAATACAAAGATAGGATTCGAGATTTGGGATTCATTTGGCAGACATTTTACTTTTGCTTCTGCATTTTTTAGAAGTACTTTATGAGGATGCTATGTTATGCCGACTTCCTCTATAAACTCTCATAGTCAAATAAAGCATTTTCAAAAAATTATTCAAATGTATTAAAAATAATTTCTTAATCTTAAGAGTAATATTTAACTTTTTAAAAGTCATATCAAATGGACCGTTAATAACAACGACCGTAATTTCCGTCTTTACAAATTAACATTGATTATGATTACCATACACGCGCGGGACAATGTTTGTAAGAGTGAAAATAAGGAAGAGACAGAGTGATGAGACTTGAGAGTAATGTATAAAGAATGGATTGCTGGGTCCGCTCACTCACCAAGTCCTAACTGCTAACACGCCCACGATACTTGCTGCCAAACTCGGTGGGCTCCACCTAAATTGACAACTCTCTCTTTCTCTCTCTACATTACATACATATATGGATATTTATTTATTTATATATATTTTATTTTGTTTTAATGAATTTCTGTTGCCTGATAATGATTTCTCAGGCAGTGACTCAAGTAATGATAACGCGCAGAACATAAAGATCGATAAAATAAAGTATTTATAAAAATTCACTTATAAGTATCTTTACTTAAATAAGTAAATATGTTATAATTAGTACCACAGGATGAGAATCTTTATCAATTTGACAATTTATGTTACCTAAGACTTGTGTACTACTTTCTTTGCCTTTTAGTACGACTTATCATCAGCAACATAATTGTAGATTAAGGAAATTTGCCATATGATCCCCAACACGCTTTTGTAATGGCAAAACGGGTTTTCAATCTTTTTCTTCAATGTGATGTACTAAACTTTTCAAGTTTGTAGTCTTTCGATATGCAACACACAATTTTTATCCATTGAACTGTTAAAGTTACACACAGAGATATTGTTTGATGGTTGAAATAAATAAATGCAAATATGCCACTTTCAATCACCATCTATCACCCTTCCTCTAAACCTGCTCTAAGCAAGAACAATCCTTCATTTTCTTTGTCAACCGTCACTCTCTTCTTTTTCTCTCCTTGAACAAGATATAAGTACTGTATTTTTCGGTTCATATTTTTTATTTCATTATTTATTTTAACTAAGCTAAAAAGTAAGTTTACGATCTTAAACATAGTTTTAAGTGGACAAATGGACGAAAATTGGTCTACAGCGTATAAAAGTTGAGAGTGTAAATGCTAAAACAAAATTGAGGACCTTTTGGCAAAGATTTAATAGGTCAAGGACCTCTACTACTATTTTCTCTTTTAATAATATATTAATAATTCTTTCTCCTACTAGGTTTCTAAAATTTGATTGATGCAGGAAAGTAAAGTGCTATCCTCTCATGTCTTGTTACAAATCTTTTAATTAATACTTGTCTATTATTGGTTGAATTGATACAAAATTTAAAAGCAGGAGATATGCATCCCTTTTTATTTCTAAAAGTAGTGGACAGAAAAAAATTCTTATTCATATATTAAGCTGAAGATATTTTTTGTGAAAAGTAAATATTTATGTCAAAAAAGTATGAAAATTCACTGAAAACCCACCCTACCAATGTCTAGGTGGATGAAGACCTTACATCAACAGAGAATTTATGAAAACAATTTTTTTTGTTAATTTCATTTTTTTTCTTCTGAAAATCAAAAAGCCAAGGCAAAGTAAAGGAAGAAAAAGGGTGGTTAGGCTGTGGGTTCTGTACTGTCTTTTACTTGTCCCCTCCACTTAACACAGTTTTTGCTATCTCTCTCTCTCTCTCACACACATACAGTGTGTGTACAACAGTCTTAAGTCCAAAAGGGACATTAGCACATTGGCCACTTTTGCCTTTTGTTTCAATTTTTTCTATGCTATTGTCTGTGTCTGCTCAGAACTGCAAAATGGGGGAAGAATCATATTTTGAATTTCTTGTTATTATTTGATGCTCTCTGTCTTCTTCTTCTCATGGTTTGATACACCACACTTCAAATATGAATTTTCGGTTGATTTTTGTTGAAACCCTTTTAAGTTCTTACAGTTTCTTGAATTAAAGACATCCTTTATTGATTTCTTGGCTACTATTGGAGTCATTTTCTTCAATATACTGAGTTTTTAATGTTTGTTGGTACACTAACTCTTCCAAAAACCACTTGATTACTTCCAAAACCAACTTAAATGCTTTTTGCCTCTTTCACTGGGTAGTGGGTTGGCTACTTTTTGTTTCTTGTGGTGGTGTAATGCTATATAGTTTCAAGTATAAAAAAACAAGCTCCACCTCTTGGGGGATTAATGGAAATTGATCTGAACCTGGCAGTGGGTGAGGTGGAGAAAAATGCATGTAACAATGGAGGAGAATGTGACAAATTGGGAGGTAGTAGTTGTGTTTATTGCTCTTTGTCCACTTCTACTTCCTCATGCTCTTCAAATGCTGCATCTGCCTCTTCTTCATCTCCTTGTTCAGTATCAATCTATATGGAGCTATGGCATGCCTGTGCTGGCCCTCTCACAACCTTGCCCAAGAAAGGGAATTTAGTGGTGTATTTCCCTCAAGGCCATTTGGAGCAAGTTGCTTCAAGGGATATGTCCAATTTTGATCTCCCTCCCCAGATCTTTTGTAGGGTTCTTGATGTACAACTACTTGTAAGCACTTGAGATTAAATAATTCTTTTTATTGAATGTGTTTTTGCTTTCAAATATTTTCCTTTTATGGGTATTTTTTCTGAATTTTATTCTTCATCAGTGTGTATGATTTCTTGAAAACAGGCTAATAGGGAAAATGATGAGGTTTATACTCAGCTGACTCTACTCCCTCTACCAGAGGTACGATTTGTAATTTTGAATGCTTCTGAATCCTAATTACAGAATTTCTTTTTGATTTATATATGAAGTTTAAAATTTCCTTCTTGATTATTACAAAAAATTGTCATCTTGGCGGGCTTCATCTTTTTTTTTTTTCCTTGATTTCGAACTGGCAAAATTTGCCTTTGAGAAGTATTTCATTAAATAATTTAGCATAGTTATTAGAAGTGAAGTTTCGATAATTAGTAACATCCCGGTGTTATGCAGCTAATTGGAGCAAAATTAGATGACAAAGAGATTGAAAGGATAGGGGTCCATGAAGATGGGGATGGAGTTACGCCAGCAAAATCGACCTCCCACATGTTCTGCAAGACTCTTACTGCTTCTGACACTAGTACGCATGGTGGATTTTCAGTTCCTCGTAGGGCTGCTGAAGATTGTTTCCCACCTCTGGTTTGACATTATTCTGTCCTTTTAGCATCAAATTGTACTTGATAGGTAAGTTTTATGTGTAGAGGTGAAGTTTCTTACTAATTCTGTGCTAAAATTTTCTATTAGGATTATAAAGAGCAAAGGCCCTCCCAGGAACTTATAGCTAAAGACCTACATGGCGTTGAATGGAAATTTCGTCACATTTACAGAGGTACTAGATTTAATTCTACTATGTTTCTTAATATGGAAGTTCTCACAGTTTGATTCTAAACGTGCAGGCCAGCCAAGGCGACATTTGCTCACTACTGGATGGAGTATTTTCGTTAGCCAAAAGAATCTTGTATCGGGGGATGCAGTTCTCTTTCTGAGGTACACATCATATAAACTCTAAGATTGTAGATCCATATGTTTAAAGGTTATAGTCCATGAGTTAAGGCTCAAGTTTTTCTCTAATCCCGAGTCGCTGAACTGTTTGCGAAAAGTTAGATTTAGAAAGGAAAAACTTCAGGGACTGTAAGTCTAATGTTCCTTTAAGTTAAATGACAAAAACTTATTAATTGGTAATATGGTTGATGTAGGGGAGAAGGTGGAGAACTAAGGCTGGGAATTAGAAGAGCTGCTCGGCCTAGAAATGGGCTACCTGATTCAGTTATTAAAAATCAGAGTACTTATCCCAGTGCTCTTTCTTCAGTAGCTAATGCTTTGTCAAGCAAGAACGCATTCCAGGTGTTCTATAGCCCAAGGTAATACAGTCTTGCTCTCTTAGTTATTGGAGGATCTAACTTAGTTTATAAAATCCTTAACTTGCAATGCTACAAATTGTGGTCATGTGATTCATGTTTGTTCTCTCAACTCATATAAACATAAACTAATTATTCTAACTCTCAGATAAGTTTGTCAGTGTCACGGTACTCAGCCATGTAATATGACTCTTAAATAAAAGCGTTTGTGACAATAGCGAGTTTATAATGATATATAAAATAATTCAGCTAATAAATCTACAAGGTTTCTAAAACTCCACAGTGGTCATGTTAAGGCATTTTAACGATGCCATATAATTTTAATTCTTGGCAGTGCATGTATCATCAGAAATGATTACAGAAACTCTCATAATTTATATTCAGTTCAAGACTTCTAATAGCCAATCAGTATATTCTAATTATAGTTGTTTAGCGTAATGTAATTCTTTGTTGGTTGTTTTAACACCTGATAGCATATTTTTAACTATTTACTTGAAACATGGGATTCTTCGAAGATCAAGTTTTGTTATAGGCTATACAGGCCAGAAATAAGGAAGAGAAAAGGGTTCCTAAAACCACAAAATGAACTATAACAGTACATGTGGGTCTGTAACTCTTTATATGCATTGTGCATTGTCTCATCAAGTTTTCTGCAATAATATTGTTTCTAGTTATAGCATTTCCGCCACCTGCATTAATTACATCTTCAATGAATGCTAGAAATAAAGCTGCTATCTGTAATTTTGAGTAGTCTCGTAGGACTGTGGGTTAGTGTCTAATTCACAAATAGCCACGATCAACTCTTACCTGTTTATGTGTCATAGGAAGGTGGGGAAGCTGTTTGCTTTCATTGAGAAGTTCTTTATAAAATTGAATTTCTAAAGGTCATGAATCTAGTTTGCCAGATTTTTTACCAGGAAGGGATATTTTCATCAAGAAAGATATTTGCTAATTCACCATCATTTTCCTTAGTTTACATTCTTTATTTTAGCGAAGCTCTTTTATTTCCAGAAGGGATGTTTGGGCCACGTGAACATGTCACATAGATTTTCAGCTAAAATGTCTCGATTCAGTCTTGTTGGCCTTTTCTCCTTTTAAGTATTGGCATTGTCTCCCCTATATATATTCTTAAATTCGACATTTTATTTTTTGGGACAATGCGCAAGTTCCCTATGTCCTTGGTTTGCGTGAGATGGATTTCCAGGTTAAATTTGTTCGATGATTGCCATGGCTCTGTGTTTATCCTGCATTACGAGGTTTAAGATTCTGCCAATTCATGTTAGAGACCACAAGAAAATTGCAGCCATTTCATGTTGTCAGTGACATTGGATGGAACAACATGACAATTATGACTCTCCTCTTTTTAATGAATGGATGTTCGTTGTATAAATTTTACTTACTCAAAGTGAGACTTAGAAAGAAAGTTTTGAAGGTCATCATTTCTTATTTCACCTATTGCATATATCTGCCCAACTAAACATGTATAAACTTCCTTGACGACGTATAAGAAAGTTGATAGTGCCAAAATGCTTTTATGGATAATTTTAAGTGCGCTAAAGTTGCACTCCGTCTTTGAGAAACTATATTTTGCTTTTGCGTTTATAAAATCCTAGGGCACAATCATATTAGGACCAAAATCTACATTTTGATAAGAGTAAAACCTTCAGAGCAACAACTAAAGAAATTTTGCTCCTATGGTTACTATTATGCATGCATATGCCACAGCATAACTTTATAAAAACTGAGTCCCTTGCACATACGGGTGTTAAATGGGGCAAGCTCGGCTCGCCTATTTGGATTGTAATATTGCCTAGACATGGTGATGCATCTCGATCTTAAAAATATTAGGTTATTAATTTGTCTACTTTATCTTGGATTCGGAGCTCTGTGTATTTGGTCATCCACAGCCCTTTAAATATAGTAACTATCAATACACAATGAAATGCGTGGAATATATTTCCACAAATCTATATCGGACTTTTTAGAAAGATTATTGGATTGAACAACTTAGCTGCATGGATGGCCTCCCAGAAAATTCTAAAACCCTCATGTATTATTTCCTTGAGCCCTCTCTTTTGAAATATCTCTTTTAATGCCATTTCTTGAAGAACTGGGAAAACAGAATATATAGAGCTCTGGATCCAAGATAAATATTTAAAAGATCGAGATGCATCACGTGGCTTAGGCAATATTGCAATCCTAATAGAAGCACGTTTGTATCTGTTAATGGCTTTTCAGAAAGACGAAAGTGTCCTTTCTGCATTTTTTTCAGATGTACAATTGCAGACTGTGAATGTAGAATTGGAATTATATTTTAATTTTTAATAGATAGTTTCAAACCTGGTTAAAGGAGGGTACTAATTTATATTTTCTTACAAATTTACATCTTCATTATACCTCTATTGTAACCGTGCAAAAAATAAAAAATAAAAAATCTGTGAGCCACGAGCCAATCCCAAATTTCTTGTGGTGGGTTGGCTTGCACTCGGCTCGGCTCGTTTGACGCCCCTATTCTTATGGGACTTTGACCCACTAAAAGTCAAGTGTCATCATATTAAGATTTATTTAACCACTGGAGCTTTAAGTTTTCACAAAATTTTATGTTCATGACATGTGAATTTAATTCAAGAATATGAAAAACTGATGACTTTCATGTTGGTTCTAATATACTGTTGTATCAAACCAAATGGTGGGTGTAGGGGCTGTAATCCAGGCTGTTCAAACTTGGTATTTGGTGATGCTTTTCTATGTACTTTGCTAGTATGTCACAAGTTCCGTTTCCTCTGTCTATGTGGAGTACATTCTGGGAAACTAATTTTGGTTTCATACATAAAGGTTGAATGGCTATTAAATGGTATTTTTTTGTGTTCTGAAGTCATAATCATTCCTTTCGCATCAAATAAGTCAGCGTCTTAGAAATCATATACTGGTTAGATTTTAATGGTTAATAACATTTTTGCTGTAGGGCAAGTCATGCTGATTTTATAGTCCCATATCAAAAGTACGTGAAGAGCACTGCCAATCAGTTACCTGTTGGGACAAGATTCAAAATGAAATTTGATTTGGATGATTCTTCGGAGAGAAGGTTTTATGAAATTCTATCTAGCATCCTATTGTGTTTTTGCTCTTTGATGCATTTTACTTAAATCAGATATCTTGTGCCTTCTCAGATTCTGTGGAGTGGTGACTGGAGTTGGTGATGTAGATTCCTACAGATGGCCAAACTCGAAATGGAGATGCTTGATGGTACATTCTAACTCTTCTTTTGGAGCTCTTTGTATACAAAAGATTTTAATTCGGCAGTTGCTGCCTTGAGGAAGCCCTCTCGGGCGGGTAGTTTGCACTTGAAATTTGGTGTTCGTCTTTCCTGTTGGTTCCTGCTTTCTTTTTGTAGATTTATCTAGTCCTAGTTTTAGGTTAACTGTGGGCAGGCTAAGGAACTGAAACATTTGGTTGTCTACAATACGTAAATTCACACAGATGGGGAATTTATTGAGTAGTTAATAGCAAACATCTGGAGTCTATGTCATAATGGTCTCCTGGAATTCTCTAATATGATTGCCACTAACACGCATTTAATAGGTTCAATGGGACGAAGATATCATGAGTAATCATCAGGATCGAGTTTCTCCATGGGACATTGATTTCTCAGTTCCTTTCCCTCACCTGAGCATTCATTCATCTCCAAGAATGAAGAAATTGCGATCAAGTCTGCCAGTGACCCCACATGACAGCCAAATCACAGGTCCACATCTTTTTTTTTCAGTTGATAATTATTTTTAGTACATTGTTTTTTCTCGTGGTAGTTCAGCTCAGGGACTGACGCATTACTTTTATTATTGTTATTTATTTTTAAGCAGGAGGGAATTCCCTTTTGGACTTTGAGGAGTCTGTTAGATCCTCTAAGGTCTTGCAAGGTCAAGAAAATGTAGGTTTAGTATCACCTCTCTATAGACATGATAGGATAAACCGTCAGCTGGATTTTGAGATTCAACCTGCAGCATGTCAAAATCCTGTATCAACTGTCAAGGAAAAGCTTAATTTTAGTGAGTCTGTGAAGATCCATGCACCTGCCACCTATACGGGCTCTGTGGAAACAAATTGGTTTCCAAAGGTCTTGCAAGGTCAAGAAATTTGCTCATTGAGATCCCTAGCTGGGAAAACTGATTTTAATCTTGGTGCATGGCCAAAACCTGATTTTGGTCGTAATGTTTACAACGTGTATCAAACGCCCAGACCCAATTTATATCCTTTAGCTTCTGAAGGTGCTAGAAACATATTTTTTCCTTGCAATGGGATCTACAGAGCTGACCAAGATCCTCTAATGCTATCCTATGTGTCAGACGTTCAAAGAGAAAGCCGCGTGTTAAATTCTATTTCCATCGGAAATGCTGCTGCAGTTGATATAGGTAAGGTTCCAAATCTCTCAAACCAGCCAAGGCCACTGGAGAAGTCTTCAACATCTACCACTCCAGAGGAACATTTCATTAATACAAGTGAGGCCATCTTGAAGGGAAAGGCGCCCACCTTTAAACTATTTGGGTCTTCTATGACCGAGGATATTTCTACACTTAATTCACTAGGTTCAAATAAGAGGAGCTGCACAAAAGTAAGCTTCGATATGCATGTGTAGAACGTGTTATGTTGTTTCTCAGTTCGTTATTGCTAATGTGTTGGGAATCCTAGTAGAGATATTATTTTCTACTATTTTATTAGTTTCCTACTTAAATTAGATTAGTTTAAACTCTATATTAAATGGATCTTTTTATTGTAATACTTAGACTTGATTATTTAATAAACTCATACTTCCTACATCTGTCATAAATGAAGGTTCACAAGCAAGGCAACTTGGTGGGGAGAGCCATTGATCTCTCAAGACTACATGGCTATGATGACCTGCTGACTGAACTGGAGAGGTTATTTAGCATGGAAGGCCTCTTGCAGGATCCTGAAAAAGGATGGCGTATATTGTACACTGACAGTGAGAATGACATGATGGTTGTTGGTGATGATCCTTGGCGGTAAGTCCCTCACATGGCAAACCTCTTGTGTTTTTGCTTCTCGTCTCTCCATAGTTTAGAAATTGTGAAAGCCGAGGCTATTACTTATCATGATTGGTTTTGAACTTCTAAACAACAGCATTTACTCCTTGATACATTATATCTCATAATTAAGGAACGACTAATTTAGCCTTCTCATAATTAAGGAATGATTAATTTAGTCTTCTCATAAGAAACGAGAATTTTGTGGAAGTTTTTATCACTAAAGGCACTTAATGTGGCCTCATCACTAGTCATGATTCAAAAAGACAATTTTATCCGAAGATTTTCATCGCCAAATTTGGGCAATATGTGGATTTGAATTGTAAATTCATTACCTATTACAACTTGAATTGCAGTGAGTTCGTTGAAGTGGTGTCTAAGATCCATATATACACACAAGAGGAAGTGGAAAAGATGACCATTGGAATGATCAGTGATGACACTCAAAGCTGTTTGGAAGAAATGCCACCAGTAACAGACGTGTCAAAGTCATCTTCTGTTGGCTAGCCTGATTCTACATCGACTGTGATCATGATGTAAATCTCAGGTTGTTTGACTATCATCCTTGCAGTACTGTTATCTACTACTTAACATACTTGGTTGTGTTTCTTAAATGTTTGGAATTGTAAGGTTAACTATCTTTCTCCCTGTTGGACATGATACTATGATGTTGGAAAACGACTTGAACCTTATATAATAAAAGTCCAACGTGTACATAATGCCTTCTTTTACAACTTTTAAGACTTAGGCCACTCTTGTTTTCTGTGTCAATCATCTTTTATTTTGTGTATAATCTCTTGTGTAAATGCTGTTTGCAGTGTTAGTATTGGGTAGCATAGGCATGGTATTAGTTGATGACCTACAATACCTCCTGTCCCCATTTTAGACCGAGGTACTCGCTATCTACATTTTGGGTTTCATGCATTGTTTACTGTCTGAAATTTCCCCCTCGTAGGTAATTCGAATAGAATTTTGTCCTCTGTTCGAATCATCCACCTTATGGCATTGGAAAGGAAGTCAAATTAATAGGTATCTTTTAGGTTGTGATATAGTCACACACTCATCTACAACTCAGTATTCTCACTATTCTCTTATTCTTAGGCATAGAAACTAACTCTCTAGTTCAGTTTAAATGCAAGGACCTCGTTTCCACATCCATTGCTGTTCTCCAGTCACAGCATTCACTGCATTGATTGCTTTCAGTGTCATAAATAGTCACTTCTTGATGCCTGTAATGTAGCTCTACCTCAACTCTAGACTATTCCTACAATTTGGTCTAGGAGGGACTGCGACAAATTCCTTTTTCTCACTACCTATAATCTCAACAGATATTCAAGTGAGAGTCAGCTTTACTAAAAAGGAAAATGCCACTTGTACACTCTTTTGTTGACATAAGTGTTGATTATGTGAAAAACTGTCAAAAATTTAAACTGTCCAATGATGTGTTGATTAGGTGAAAAACAGTCAAAAACAGCATATCTGAGTAGTAGTATTTAGATTTTAAACGTCTAGAGATCCCCTTTTCCATATTCTATGGCCTTTCGATTATCCACTTCACACATTTATGTTCAAGTTTTCTGAAAATCGTGTGTGCATAAGGTACACAATCAAATAGATGTGTTACAGGTATACAAGGGTGTACATAATGGACATCCGGCTCCCTTCCATTTGAGGGAGTGCCGGACCCACCAACACTCCATCCAATGGGAGGGCGCCGGGTGTTTATTATGGACGCCCTTATGTACACCTTTGTGTACTTCTAGCATTTTTCCACAACCAAATACTTCGAGACGTGACAGATTTGGTGGCCCGCCAGCCCAGTTTTCGTCAAGTATCAAGACGTTTATAGTAGAACTAGGTGGTCTGTTTATTTAGAAGGGACAGAAACGTAGGCTGCTTCAACCTAAAAAGAAGTTGGCAATCCAGATGTGATAAACATGCATCAAACCTTTCTGTCTCAACCTTCTATGTCAGGAGTTTTGCTCTCTCTCCAGGGGAGCATGTGGCACCCTCCTATTGGCTGGGCGTCTGCGCGCCACATGCGCCCTAAAGTATGCTCGACTAATTATCAGGTGAGACGATATTATCCATTCAAAAAGAATTCCCATCTGTAAATCAAAGGTTTCTATACGAATATCCCACCAGGCTTAAGAATGCGATCTGTCCCGAACAAAGCTCTACAATCTTAACATGTTATACAACGTTATAACAATTAGGGGTTACTAAAAAAATTTGTCAAAACGCAAAATCGAATTGAGTGTTGGTTTGGGATCCACGTGGATCCAGTCAGCGTTTGTTTTAGAACTTACAAAATCGTTTAGATTGGTTTGGTTTAGGCTTCAATACTTAAAAACTAAATCGACCCTAACCATTTATAAAAATAAAAAATTTTAAAAAATAAAAATTAAATTGCACTTAGCATTAGCTCCGTCGAAATTTATTAGTCGAATGGTTTGGGCTACTAGGAGTAAAATGAGGTTTGGATGGTATTAATATAATTGAATTTTTGTTAATTTTTTTTTGGAAAGCCAACGTTGTAATGTTTAAACTTTATATTATTTTCATAGCTTTTAAGCTTGTGTAAAAAATATATATTTTAACATTTATATTTAGAAAGTCTCATTTTATGCGTTGTAACGAGATTTTAGACAAATATTTATGTTTTTAACTTATTTGAAATATATTACTTTTATGTGACTAACTAAATCGTGATTTAAAATCAAATCAAACTGCAATTTAGAATGTCAGGTCGAAAGATCCATTAAAAAATATAATTACGAGCCTGTTTGGGAGCGCTTCTTTTTTAAAAAAAAAAAACAATTTTTTGAATGTTAGAAGGAAGTAAGGTAGCTATTGTCGACTTTTGGCCTCACAGGTGGGATCCACCAGTTGAAAAAAATGGTCATTTTTAGCTTAAAAGTTGTTGAAAATTTCTACCAGATAAGTCCTAATAGATATCGTTTTGGGTTTGACAACTTCCGTGATGTGGTTGGGGTCGGTGTTTTTGCTATTTTTTTCTAGAGCCTTGCTATGGGTACATCACCCCTTACACAAGGGGTGATGTACAATCAAACTGCAATTTAGAATGTCAGGTAGAAAGATCCATTAAAAAATGTAATTAAGAGCCTGTTTGGGAGCGCTTTTTAAACAAAAAAAAAACGGTTTTTTGAATCGTTAGAAGGAAATAAGGCAGCTATTGTTCACTTTTGGCCTCACAGGTGGGATCCACCAGTTTAAAAAAATGGTCATTTTTAGCTTAAAAGCTGTTGAAAATTTCTACCAGACAAGTCCTAATAGACATCGTTTTGGGTTTGACAACTTCCGTGATGCGGTTGGGGTCGGTGTTTTTGCTATTTTTTTCTATTTCTTTTTTATCCATCTTCTCAGAAAAAATTGAAATTTTAACGGTCAAAATCTGTTCCGAAGAGACCAAGATGCTACAAATCTGATAGGCCGGGAAAAAGGATCAATGTGCTATATATTTAAAAGCTTGAGGATTTAAATATCATGAAATCGAAGTTGAGGATACTTCCAAATTTTTTTGAACTTTAACAGCTAAAAACTGCAAAACCAGCCTCTTCTCCAATTCAAAAGTTTCAATCCTAAAACCCTAAATCGAGTATCAACGATAACTCGAAAATCAATGGACGGAGGAGAGCAGCAAATTTCGAACCCCGCGAAGCCTTCGAAGTTCGCGGTGTACCAAAATCCTGCCGTCTCCGCCGCCCTAACCTCAAACAGCCTCCGCCCCTCAGCATCTACTTTTCTCTTCATCCTCTCACTGTTTTCCGCTTCCGCCATCGTTCTCCTGATTTCTATCTCTAGGTACATTGCCTATTTAGATTTATTCAAAAATATGATTATATATGTCTGTGTATATATGTTTTAGTTCTGTATTTCAATGAAGAAAAGTTAGGGCTTAAATTAGAGCACGTTTTGTGGCTGTCTTTATAAATGTTAGTATCGCCAAAGCGACGTACAAACATGGCTGCATAAAAGTATAGTTTTTAAAATAAATTTCAGAAGGGAGTCTAGGCGTCTGGAGGGAAGAAAGTGAATTTTCATAGTTCCGGAACCTTTTTGTTAGAAAATGAAGCGACGACATGATTAGGAGGGAACAAATTACCTGACCTCGTATACCAGGGAAGAGACTTGAGAAAGGAAATTGTTATAGCTTTAGGCCTACTTTTAGTAAAAAAATTCATTTTCTTCAATCAACGGGAAAAAAAGTCATCAAGTTCTCTAAATGATTTTTTATTTTCAATAAGATTTCCCTCAAAGATTGTCTTCCAAATCTCTTGGGATGATACCCTAAATTAGATTAATCAAAATCCGCATCTTTTGATGATCAAGCCAAGGAAAAAGCATGTAGGAGACAGTAAATTATCCACTTACCAAAATGCCTATAATCGATATGCTTGTGGCTCATTAGTAAATTGGACCATATTAGTATAGGAGTACTTGATAATCCACATGCAGTTTAAGAGCAAAAGTTCTAATGCGAAATGATGCTATAAACTGTGCATATGTTTGATGGCAGCTGGCCCGTGTCAAATCTTAAACTGTTTAACCTGACTGTTCTTCCAGACAAAGCTGGTTCTAAGGTCCTCTTGAGTTCATATTGGTGTTGCCAAGCATGAAATTTTCTCAACTTTTTGTAGTCCTCATCCTGAAGGACAATACCACAAGAATGTTTGCCTTCTTATACCTGCTAATAGCGGAACACTTAACTTGTTGTCTTGTCTGATAAGCTATTAGCTAACAAAATTATGGATAAGCGGATGAAAAAATAAAAAACACAGGCTTATATATAAAGACATCTGATAACAGATATGTAGCCCTGAAATGTCAACTGGAACTAAGCCAATAACTCTTTTAAGAAGCCAGTGACCTTCAAAGTTTACTACAACAACCACATGGGTTGCAGGGCCACAGAGTCACCAGGGTGATTAGTTTAGTGAGATTCATAGTGAATGTAGCAGAAAGTAGTCACTGGCACTACTCATGACAATTGAGCAGTAAGTGTTGCCACAGCAAAAACTGGAGAAGAGACAATTTATATGTTGTCATGTGAAATCTCAATAATGTGACCAGATTTAGTTTTTGCGTTAAGATAAGTGACATGTAATATTTATTCATACATGGTGTCAAACCAAATGCACTTTTGTAAGTTATCATAAGTGTTTCTGATAAATTTATATGCATATATGTTTATTTTGGGCCTTATGTAAATGTATTTTCAAATTGTACTAAAACTAATGGAATCATTTTTATTTGATCAATGAAGAGAAAACACTATTGTTACGAGATTGGGACTTGGATATGTTTCTCAAGAAGTTTCCAGTAAGTGGAGTTTCAATTTCTGTTGGGTTGGTTTAAAGGCTATTCTTTTAAATTTTAACTTGAGATATCATGTATTATGTCAGGTCTATTTTCGAAAGTGATACAAACCACTGCAGGTTTTATTATAGTTGGAACTTTGCTTGCTTTTGTCAAAGCCATCACACAATGGAGGCCAATAAATGATACAGACATAACAGTTATATCACCTTCTAAAGGAACAAAGGAGAAAAAATGTCTTACCAACCGACAACTTGGCCTTTTAGGATTAAGGCGAAAAGCTGATACACCTTCAACGGAGTCTTCAAAGAAACCTCCTAAATCTAGAATTAGCTCACCTTCTCCATCAAATGTCCTTGTCCCCCTTCATCAGCCAATAACAGGTTCGACTCCCTCATCTAGAATGAACAGCAATAAATCAAGCACCAATGGCGGGAGCAACATACGTTCCTTTAGCTCCCCATCCAAATCACCAGTTTCTCCCTCTCTTTATCTTGTCCCTGCACCCTCTTCAAGGTCACCTTCCATTCAGAATTCACCAGGTTCTGATCAATATATTGCCACCCCTTGGTCAAATAAGAGACCTGCTTTTCATAAAGAGATAACAGAAGAAGAGCTTGAATATTTTTTGGCTGATGTAGATGAGAAAATAACTGAAACAGCGAGTAAATTGGCAACTCCACCTCCTAGCGGAAATGGATTTGGGGTATCCAGTCCAAATGCTATCACCAGTTCTGTTAATACTTCTGGATCTACAAGAAGTACACCTCTAAGGCCTGTTAGAATGTCTCCTGGTTCCCAAAAGTTCACCACTCCCCCCAAAAAAGGTGAAGGTGACCTTCCTCCTCCCATGTCTATGGAAGAGTCAATTGAATCTTTTCAGAAGCTGGGCATCTATCCACATATTGAGCAGTGGCGTGATCGTCTCAGACAGTGGTTTTCCTCAGTTCTGCTCAATCCTCTACTTAGCAAAATTGATACCAGTCACATCAAAGTGAGTTAGCATCTCATCATTATCTCTTCTATAGAATTGACTGTATATCGTAGTGCACGGCTATGCATAGTTAGAAATACCCTACTAGACCCCAAGTTAAAGTTGAATTTATTACTACTTCAATATACAGTTAAATAAATTTTCTTTAGTACTAGGAGATAGTCTTGATCAGGGATGGTGCAGACTGTCCTACGGATAATCAGTTCACTGATGCAAGGGTTCTTCAGTTCAAACTAGATACAATGTGTATGCTATCAGCATCTTTATCATCATCAATTTAACTTTCTGTTTGCTTATTCTCATTTTCTCATATTTTGGGCTGATTTCATGCAGGATCCATCTTTACTCTCTCATACTTTTAAGTCTACTTTGGTTTGGGGATAGGATTAGAGCGTACAAGTCATGAACAAGTGAGGAATTTAAAATGAGTCATTTGAGTTCTACCACGGAAAACTCAATGGAGTTAGTTATAGTGATCCTTCTACTATGAAAAATATGCTAGACTAGTTCAATTTGGTGAAATTTTTGAATTAGATCGTGCTACTTTGAAATCCGATGGTGTAGAATATTTGCAGTAAGAGATGAATCCTAATATTTATACTCTTATATTTTATTTGGTCCACATCTGGAGGTGGTCATGGAACACTACACAACTCTATGCAATCTTGGTTCACTCGATAAGAATTTTTCAATTACAAAATTGGCAACATATATTCAATGCATAATTCAGTCCAATCTGTCGTAGGCGATATTGGGGAATAGTTCAGTGCAACAATTTCTCATTAATAGATATCTGATATCTTAACAAGAACCACCTGTCTTAACCATGCCAACAATTTCTCATTAATAGACAGCATACCTTATTCCATCGCCTCCTTGGTATTGTGAAATGCAGCATTTTATACAAAAATTATTGGATTGGCATTCTTTCATTGGGTCCACAAACCCAACCAAACTCCTGATGATTGCATCGTGTCATTCTCAATTCTTAAACAATCTAACACCGCCACCCAAAAAAAAAATGTGGCTGCAGGTTATGGATGCAGCTGCAAAACTAGGTATCACAATTACAATCAGTCAAGTTGGAAGTGGTACCCCACCTGCTACTGTATCTCCAATTGAGAGAACTGGGGAATGGCCCCCGGCAATTGCTGTTGACGAAGATGGACTTCTTCATCAGCTGCGGACTACTCTTGTTCAAGCTCTTGATGCTTGTACGCCTAAGTTGTTTCATCTCTATCTTTATTCTTATTTACATAATGCGAGATAAGTGTTGAGTGAAAACTTATTATGTAAATTCATACTATTCGTATTTTCAGCAAAATTGCCTTTGAGCAATTTCCAACACTCTGCTCAGCAGAATGCCTTCATCCCTATTTTACAAGAGGGTATCGATGCCATTACTGAACATCAGAGACTCCATGCCTTGATGAAAGGAGAGTGTGTAAAAGGATTGCTACCACAAAGTAGCGTTCGGGCAGATTATACTGTGCAGAGGATTCGCGGTAATTGTATCTTGATATGCCCTCCTAGTTAATCTATTTTAAAATTGGATGTGAAAGCAGATATGACTAATTGAATGATCTCGTTCCTATTATGTGGTGCATGCAATATAAAATGTCACTGACTTCTCAATCTAATTGCAGAGCTTGCTGAAGGAACATGTTTAAAGAACTATGAGTATCTTGGAAGTGGAGAGGTCTATGACAAAGTAAATAAGAAATGGACTTTCGAACTCCCGAGTGATTCTCTTTTGCTTCTGTATGTATTTTGTGCTTTTCTGGAATACCCAAACTGGATGCTGCATGTTGATCCTACAGCTTATGCTGGGGCCCAGTCAAGCAAAAACCCTTTATTTTTGGGCATTCTTCCTCCTAAAGAAAGATATCCTGAGAAGTATATAGCTGTTGTATCTGGCGTCCCATCTGTGCTGCATCCAGGTGCATGTATTTTGAGTGTTGGGAGGCAAAGCCCCCCAATATTTGCCTTGTACTGGGACAAAAAGCCTCAGTTCTCTCTCCAGGTAATAAATATGTAGGGGATAGAATATCAACCTGCATCATGCTGATTATTTATGGTGGTTTCCAATATGATTACATGAGGCAGCACTCAAGCAAATTAAAAAGAAAGTAATTCATTGGTGCATATATGTATGTGTCTGTCCCATCATTTTTTCCATCATGCTGACTCGGAGGCCATTTTTGCCTCCATATTTGAGAATATAACTGAACAAGATTCATAGAGAATTATTGGCTGATAAAATATGAAGAATGTGGTATAAGGTTTTTTTGTCTTCCTTCAGTGTACTATAAACGCTGCAAGTGTGTTGTCCGTGCTTAATTAGATAATGTTCTATCTACAGCCACCAGAAAAGCCTCAAACATAGAAAGTACATGATAAAGGAATTGAAAAGGACAAACAAGAAGAAATCCTACTAGTCTCATCTTTTCATTGATTCTTCCATGTTTTTCTCTTTGTTATCTCAGTCTATACCTTTTTCAAGTTTCTGGAGCTGTTTTTCGCATAAAACTCTGTAGTTAGTGTTGTTTCACTGTCATATACTAAAATCGTTTCCCTAGTTGGTATAATAATTCAAACCCAATTATTGCTGAATCAATGGTATTTTCTGTGTGAATTATTGACTTGCCGTTGGTTCTTATTTGTAGGGTCGAACAGCGCTCTGGGACTCCATCTTGCTTCTGTGCTATAAGATTAAGATCAGTTATGGTGGGATAGTGAGAGGCATGCATCTTGGTTCTTCAGCCTTGGCCATTCTTCCTGTCCTCGACCAAGAAACTGAAGAGTGAGAAAGTTAACCTGAACGAGCTCCATGCATCTTGTCATGGAATCTCTCTGGTGCAGAATGTGTTTGGGGCGATAGAGACATTTTGATGCGCATGGCATTTTTGATTTTTAACCGGTATTTGTTCAGGAATCCCTTGCGTCATCCATGAGATGTGGTTTCTCTCACACCTTTCTGAAAATCGATTGACGCTTTTACTGTCACTCTATTATGTATATTAGACATTTGAAATTCAAGATCAGATAGTTAAAAATAATATTAAAGTGGACAAAAGTTCAGCCCTCACCCATTGATATAAGATATTAACTTCGTTCCATAAAGATAGACTTGTTTCTATTTTTACACAGATAAAGAAAATGTAATTAATATAGTTAAAGATACAAATTTTTCTAACATTTTTCGTAATATATCCAATTATCCATACATTAAGTAATGATTTAAATACGATTAGTTTATGTTTGTTGATAACAAGGTACATTAAATAGAGGCATATTAGAAAACTTAAAAAAAAAATATGTACTTTCAACGAGGAATGTGGCTTATAATGTGAGATTATGTGAAAAAGGAAATCGAGTCTATTTTTATGGATATTTGATTAGGAGCTTGTTTGAATTAGACTCTTCCCCAAAAATTATTTTTTGAGTAATTTTTGGTGTACAGGAAATTTTTTTATTGGGGTTTTACAGACCCCTCACTGTAGCACGGGCTTCACCCCAATGTATTAATAAAAAAAATGTGGTCCCCCCTCCTTTGTGTCTACCCTGGCAGGGAATACAAGCAGTTCTCTTATTTGAGTTAATATGTGGGAGCTTTATTGAATAATTTAGTTGGTTGGCAGAGTAATTATGGAAACCTTCTGTCTCTCATCTCATCAAGCAATTATCACGTGCATGAATTATCCCCCACATATCAACATTTGGTAATATGAAAGGTTGGGGGATATGTGC